CAATAACAAAGTCGAATAAAAGAGCCATGTCATCATCTAATAATTATATTGTTTTTATCTCCCAGTTTCTTGTGTTATTGGGATTAGCCTCTTTTTCTGGCCAAGGTTTGAGTTTCCTGGAAGTCTGAGATGCTGGATTAAACCAAAGGATATGAGCATATCTATCCTTGTAAATAAGTCCTCCTGATGGACAGGACTCCATCTCTATGCTGGTCCAGAACAGCAGTTATTACCCACATTTACATTTTATCTGCTGCTAAAATAACGAGCATAAATCACCAGGGCTGGGGCAATTACCCGCTGAGCTGCAGCTCAGAGTTCATCCTGAAAGTGACACACTCCGAGTGGAGATGGCAGTGAGGAATGAGTGCGACCAACAAACAGAGCATGCATCACAACACCAGGGTTTGGTTTGTGCATTAATGTTGTCCTTGCTGAATGTCCACAAGTCTGAGTCCTGCTCACCAAGTTTCAGCTCATTCATCATGTTAGAAGCTGGCAGCAAAAAAAAAACTTGTTCAGGTGAAATATGTTAATACGTCAGCCTCCATGGAACCAGTCAGGATGGTTCTGGATACCTGACAGGTTCTACCCCAGCCATGAAAATAAACCCAGCAGAGAAACCAAAGAGATTTAGTCGAAGTTAGAGTTCAGATCATAGTGTCGTGTTTCAGATGGACCGGGGTCATCAGGATCCGGGAACATTTGACTTCTTCTTTAGGACAGACACGCAATTCTCACCAGGAACTTGGCTCATGTTTGTGTTCAATGGAGGTCTAAGGTCCTAACAAGTCCCAATAGTGATCACCAGCAGATAAAACAGCTTGATGGGTACAAAGTTTGCTTCTCTTAGGAAATCAGTCAGGAAAACAGATAGTCAAATTGGACCAGAAAATTTCTACAATTTTTCTAAACTGTGACATGTTTTAATTTGATGTCATGGGTTGCGGTTGGGATGAGAATCAGCTCCTCTAAATCTGAGATGGTCATGAGTCAAAAAAGGTAGAATGCCTTCTTCAGGTCAAGTATGAGGCCCTGCCTCAAGTGGAGAAGTTTGTTCTCGAGTGAGAGAAAGATGGAGCGTGAGATTGAAAGGTGGATTGGCGCTGCGCCTGCAGTGATGCTGACGTTGTACCAGCTGCTCCCAGCACACACTGCCCAGATGTTGTATATTTAGCATCTTTTTTTCAGCCTTTTTATTTGGCATCATTGGGTGTTGTTGAGGTAGAAAATGTGGATTCTAGCATTTAGATTAGCCTCTTCCCATTAGGTAGACATGAATTTTGCATATATTGGTGAATATCAAGCATGGTTTTGTAACAACATTGCTGCAAGTGGTTGTGGACCTGATACCGAGCTGTTGGGTTCAAGTTGTGTGATGCATAAGAATGGTAATTTAGCATCCCCTAGTGGTGATTTGTGATATGTGGTTAGCGCATCTGAAAACATATTTTCTAGAATTCTGATGAGAATTAAAACGAGAGGTCATATCTCTCCTGTCTTAGCTTCCCTACAATGGCTGCCTGTTAAATTCAGAATAGATTTTAATTTCAACTCAATTCAAGTCTATTTATATAGCGCCAAATCACGACTCAAGTGTCGTCTCAAGACTCTTCAGACAGTAAACATTCAAATAGTTCAGTTCATAAAGCCAATCAGTAAAACATGTCCTATATAAGGAACCCAGCAGCGAGACACTGACTGGTCTCAGAGTCTTTACAGCAATCCTCATACTAAGCAAGCATGCCGCGAAAGTGGAGAGGAAAACTCCCTTTGAACAGGAAGAAACCTCCAGAGGATCCTGGCTCTGTATAAGCAGCCATCCACCACGACTCACTGGGGAATTTAAGATCCTGGATCTCACATATAACGCTCTTAATGATCAAGAGAGAGCTGAGCCGGAATGCAAGTTCTTGATTTACCAGTCAATCTATGTTCCAACCCTCATCTATGGTCATGAGCTTTGGGTAGTGACCAAAAGAACGAGATTGTGGATACAAGCGGCCGAAATGAGTTTCTTCCGCAGGGTGGCTGGGCTCTACCTTAGAGGCAGGGTGAGAATCTCGGTCATCCGGGAGGGGCTAGATCCGCTGCTCCTTCACGTCGAGAGAAGTCAGTTGAGGTGGCTCGGGCATCTGATTAGGATGCCTCTTGGACGCCTCCCCGCTGAGGTTTTCTGGGCATGCCCAACTGGGAGAAGACCTAAAGGAAGACCCAGGACATGTGGGAGGGACAATATAGCACCAAATCACAAGAGTCGTCTCAAGGCACTTCACACAGTAAACATTCCAGTACAGGTCAGTTCATTAAGCCAATCAGAAAAAAAATCCTATACAAGGAACTCAGCAAATTGCATCAAGTCACTGACTATGTCCCTCGCCTGGCCAGGAAACACCTTAGGATTCCCCCGGAGCAGCTGGCCCAAGTGGCTGAGGAGAGGGAAGTCTGGGCATCTCAGCTTAGGCTGCTGCCCCCGCAACCCGACTCTGGGTAAGCGGCTGAAATTGGATGGATGGTTGGATCATTTAAGGCTGTAAAGGAAACAAAATGAAGTCTTTTTTAAATGTGATTCTTTGCTCTATCAACATTTTATCTGGTAAAAAACAGATTCTAAATCTGACTGATGACAGTCTCAGCATGGAGAAGAACTACACATCATACGGTATAAATAAAATCCGTAAACTGCTGAAGGGCTTTGCTGACATGAACACATTATCAGTCAATCAATCAAAACTTTATTAATCCCAGAGGGAAATTAGTTTCAGTACACACAATTCAGAGCATCTCATTGACAGCAGATGTATTCTCTCACCCTCAGATGTTATTGCTGATCTGTAGGAGTGAATATGTTCAATAACAAGCCACAACCTAATGGAAGAGACTGTGGTTGGAGGGTTGGATGGGATGTCTGTTGCTAGCAGAAAACAGGATGAACTGGACAGGATCCAATCTCTCATTGGACACTTAAAAAACACTTAAGACTTTTGGTCTTAGGATCTATTCGTCTAAAAGACCCTTCTGTTCATAGATGTAGTTTTGACTTAAGAGGGAAGGGGTGGGGGTTGGGGCAAGGATCTTTATAGTAAGTGTACAAAAAGTACAGTATGTCATTGGGAAAAAGGCTTAAACACAACAGTTTGTCTTCTACTTGGTTCTAGTGCTCAACCAGTGTCTATTATAGTGTAATACAGTATTGTTTTTGGATGGTAAAAAGTGCAGGGGACTAAATAGACTTTGGAAAAATTGGGGAGGACATGTCCCCCACAAAAAACTACGTTCATGGTTCTGTTATGAAGAACAGCAACAGCTGTGGCGTTTTTGGGAGGAAGCAGGTGGCCTTCTCTCTCTCTCTCTCTCTCTCTCTCTCTCTCTCTCTCTCTCTCTCTCTCTCTCTCTCTCTCTCTCTCTCTCTCTCTCTCTCTCTCTCTCTCTCTCTCTCATTGGCTTGTCTGTTGTATCCATCTGCCAAATCAGTGGTGGCTAGTGAATTACGCCTGGTTTATACTTCTCCGTGAGCTCCTCATAGGAGAGACCCACATGGAATGTCGGAAAGGTTTTCACATTCAAACTTCTGTTCAGGCAGCGGAGCGTAGCAAAGCAATTCCCCGCCAGGACAACAGAGGGTGCAGAGCTGTTCTGCGGTATCCTGCCACCTTAACACTCACATATCCGGTCCCCGATAGTGTATTTACTAATTTGTTTATAGATTTCAGGGACTTTGTAACACGAACAAATTTGTCCTTCATTCTCCTCCATCTCTTCACGCGGTCGCCACCTCTAAACTCACATTTTCCGTCGTTTCCATCTGTCCATATTTTGTACTTTTTCACTCACGGGTGAATAAACGTTTGTATTTTTGGACTTTTTCCACGATGTGTTCTTCAATCTGTTCTGGGTCTGCTGCTAAACATCTGTTTACTTTTAAACAAAGCTACAGTGGTGCTGGTGACAAATATACAGGAAGCGGGGTCCTGACCAATCACAAGCTTGCAGTCTCCATCACTTTCAACGAATGTTTAAAAATTTGGTAATGTCTCCGTCACCCTCTGTGAGCCTGTAGGAGAGCCCTTGCTCAGACGTATAATGGCGTTGCGTGTCTCCGCACCGATGCAGACAAAGAAGTTTAATCAGGATTTAGCCTGCCAGGCAAGATTTGCATGGCCTGTTATGGGTGAGTGCATATGAATAATGAGTTTTTTTAAATAAACTAGTACTATTAACATGTTTCTTATCCATTTGCTTCCTTACAAAATAATGGTGTATGGGCAGATAAATAAAGGAAACAATGGTTTATTTAAAAATAAATAAATACATAATTATTTAAAATATTTGTAATTTTGAGTCACATTCCTGGTTTTTTAAACCAACAGCAAAATTCAAGCAAGTAGAAAAAGTAATATAGAAATACTCACTAAACATTAGTCTCTAACGTGTTTAACTAAAATGTGTCAAAGAGGTAAATACTTCATCATTATTTTCATCCTAAAAACAGTGAAAAGTGTTCACATGAATGCAATAAAAATAGCCTCATCACTCATAAGTCTAAAAATTAAGTCTGAAAATTGCGGTTGTGACATTTGGGCTGATTTCTGATGCGCTATTCACATATCACCACCAGGGAAAGCCAAATCACCGTTCTTAAGTGTCACACCGACAGGCCGGCAAGAGCAAAATTATTCCAAAACTGTGTTTAATATTTACCAATGTAAGCAACGTCTGCATAAATAACAAACAATGCTTATTACATGAAGTTAGAAGCATTAACTAAGTCTTATCTTTGCCGGTTTAAGGTTAAAATAATCTGTGTTATAGTAAAATAAATCCACCTTTTTACATGCAAGAGAGTGTTCAAAAGTCTCTTCCATCATTTTCTGGTTCTTCATAATAACAAAACTCCACGAGGTGTACTCAGCTGCTCTACAACAACAAAGGACGGTGAACTGTGGAGAATTTCCGGTTTTGTCCTGACCTGAGCTAAGACTCTGCCCTGCCGGTGTAGGAGCTAAAAGCAGTGTTTTGTGTACGTGCATGTTGACATGTTGCTTATCAATTCCAGCCGCATACGTGCTGTGCAACTTCTTGTTTATCAGGCAGCCCAGCTGCTGCGTACGTGCTCCACAACATGTTGTTCAGTCCAGCTTATGTAAGTCTCAACTACTTTTGACCATATTAGGAGGTGGAAGTAGCACCCCATCATTTCTCAGAATCAAAGGGAGGTGGGGGTTGAATAGTATAACTGATGCTGCGTGGTGTAGGAGAGAGGGCTTTTGCAGAAGGATTTCCAGCCGAGGTGTTTAGATCGAAGCTGGACGCTGTCCCCATGAAGTGTTGGTGATGTATGGATGAGTTGTGTAAATAAACGCCCCACGCTGAGTTTGGACCAAACTTGTCTCTCTCTTGTGTTTGATAAGGAAAAAGAACCACATTTTGGCGACCACGTAGCGGGAGTAGAGGCGTGCTCTTCGGATCGCTTCGCAGTCCACGAAATTTTGACTTCTGGGCCCTTAGGTAAGAACAGTTTTTGTTCAATTTTGGATTTATTCCGTGGATTGTGAACTGGTCTGAGAGAAAAAACATGCCCTTCTCATAAATTAGAAGTTATAATAACAAGAAGAGGCATTTGTCCAGAACAGCGGTGATAAACATTCACACATGTGTGAAGTCAGCTGAGTCATTTTGATGACGGACAAAGTTTAAGTGACAAATTAAAGCTGGGACAGCGAGAATTGGAATAGATTTTGACAGCTGACAAAAGTCCAGGGAGGACAAGTGAAAAAGGTCGACATTGAGATCCAGTTGGGTGTCTCGGTGAAGCCGGGCAACGACTGGGATCTGAGAAAAAGCGCTGAAGTTGTGACAGATAAGCTTGCCAGTAATTCGGTTAAATCCTCGGGGATTGGTAAATTTCATGAGTTTTTGGCAAAGGCATGTGTTGACGTCATAGTTTGCAGCAAGAGGCTGTGAACAGCTCTGGAGCTCGTGAGCTGCGTGTGTTAGAGAAGTTCTGCGTGTGTTGGAGAAGTTCTGTGTGTGTGGAGAAGTTCTGCGTGTGTTGGAGAAGTTCTGCGTGTGTTGGAGAAGTTCTGTGTGTGTTGGAGAAGTTTTGTGTGTGTGTGTGTGTTTGTGAGAGAAGTTTTGTTTGTGTGTGGGACAGGCATGTGAGATAAGCGTGTGTGTGTGGCGGAGATAAGCGTGTGTGTGAGTTGAGACAAGTGGGTGTGTGAGATAAATGGGGTGTGTCAGGCGCCAGAGAATTAGAGGAGGAAAAAGAAAAACAAAGGAGAAAAAACTAGGAGAAGCTTTAAAAACGGTGTAAAACAAATCAATATTATTCACTGCAGTGCTAAATTTTGATGTTTAATGTTAGACAAATTTCAAAGTCTGTGATCTTGTTCTGATTAGTCTTTAAACAGAAAACCAGAAGTTAAAATAATAAGTTTTTAGAGTGACATATATATAAATAAAAATATATGCTGAAGTGCACAAGCTTGATAACTATTTTTACCAGCTGGGTAATGTGAAATATAAGAAATATAGATTATGATTAATAAATAAATAATAATGTTTATGCGTGTTGAGTGTTTGGCATGAAAATGTTGCTTCGGTGTCAAATTGCTTTGAAGTGTGTTTTTCTTATCTCTATGCAAGTGTGAAAGCTTTGCTGTGTGTGTGGTTGTTTTACTCGTGAAAGTTCAAATACTCTGATCTTGTTTAAACTATTGCTTGGATAAATTAGAGAGAAACTGATTTTTCTTCTGCTGATTCGGTCTCTATTGTGGTTGACTCTTTCCTGTATTATAGTGTTATAAAGCTGTTTGAGAGTTGTTAAATCCTGAAGGCTGAATGCGCTTGGTGGCACCGGATCTGTTCGTTTCTCCGTAGACACCCTCAGCTGTCAGACCTAAGCTTAAGACTGGACAGAGGGGCCAGTGCAGAAGCGCAAAGCTCCACCTACAAGCTGTGTGTGCGCTCCTTTCCATACACACGCACAGACACAGAAGTACAGAGGCGATCCCGCCTCTGACTCCACCTCTGTGTGTGGATTGGTTGGTGACCCATAGGGCGTATAGAAACCCTACCCTGTGGGCTGAGTTTTGCTCACACACAAGCTTGGGGTTCAGCATAAGGCTATTTTTAGCCTGCCACTGCAGCACAACTGCTGAGGGCAAATAAATACATATTCAATCCAGATTTAAAAGGTTCACCTATAAAAACTTTCAGGCATTAAGTTTTTCTTTCAACAATAACTAAAGCTTTTTGAACTAACTTTACTTTAGTGTTACATCAGAAGAGATTTGATTTTAAGGCATGCACAATAAGAAGATAAATTGTTCAACATTTGTGTAAACAGAACAACAACAGATTACTCAAGACCACAGCATCATATGTCACCAGTATCTGTTTCAACTTTCAATTCTTGTTTATTTTCAGGAGATTATAAATAAACAAACTAGTTTACTAATCAGAGGAATAATAAGTGTCACTGAAACTTCAAAATGTCGGTCACGCCAGCAGGAATTTTGGCAGCAAAGAATTCTGCTTTAGCAAAAGAGATAAAGCACATGTCAGAGAAGTGGTCGAAACGGACGAGAAAACTATGCAATCCGTGGCCATCTGAAGGCACTTTCGATGTAGCAGCTTGCGACAATTTGGAATTGAGAATTCAGGATCATAAAGCAGATGGGTCCAAGAAAAGACAGCAGAAAAGAGAAAAGGAAATTCAGATCCTGGACTTATTCAGGAACGAAGGAAAGATTTACAGACAGAACTTTAAACAGGCCATCCTTAAAATGAAAGACAAATTGGACAAACCCCAGAAGGAAGTGAAGGCCCCAGCAGAAGAGGGCCTGTATCCCCTCTTGGGAACCGTTACAATTACGGGAGATTTTGATTTGCGCGACACATTCGACAAAGGTCCTAAGGGTTTAGATGTTGACAATGGAATTTTAAAATTAACAACATCACAGCAATCAGATGAAGCACCTGGCAAAGAAAAGCATGCAAAAGGAAGTGAGGAAAGAGAATTCGAACAAACAACTCCACCTCGTGGAACGGATCCAAAATATTGCAGTACAGAACGTCGAGCGGTAAGTGAAGAAGGACGAAGGGAGATTGATTGTTTTGCAGAACATAAGGATTTTTTGAAAAGGCAACCGAAGGCTAACTCATACTGGATTGACCTTGAGAACAAGGATGAGGATGTACATGATGAGCTAAACGATGTTGACCAAATTATACAGGACATATCTGAAGGCCTGCGGAAATCCTTAAATCACATCACAGGCACACATTCAGATGAGGTTAGTGAGAACACCACTAGCACAAACAAGGAGAAAAATTTCAAGCCTTTTTACAAACCAGGCATTCACTCACCAGAGCGTGGTGACCCAAATACAGGTCTGACTCAAGAGAAGGAAAAACCAGGTCCTAGCAGTGACAACCGTGATCTGAGACCCAGACATGACGTAAAACTACCTATTCGATACACTAATGATGGTCAGTACCCAATTTTAATTAAGGGCACAAGAGCTAATTATATTCCCTGGCAGAGCCTCGACCTCACTGGTTTGGTTTCGCGGCTGCCCCACATTCAAGATGGCGCTGGAAAGTGGATTAGGGCTTTCGAACAGGAGACAACTGGGCTAATGCTTGCCCTTGGAGATCTCAAAGCTATTTTGGCTCGAGTTGTTGGGACATCAGCTATGGGAACATTGCTTGCATCCAATGGAGTCCAATGGATGCTGGACCCAATGGCTGACGGCACGGAGTTTAACACACACAGAAATGCACTCTGGAACATACTAAGAGCAGCATATCCCAACAGGATTGACCCCAAAGCTTTGAAAGGTGAGCCACTTTCAGAGACTGAGAGTCCTGCGTCATTCGTTGACAGGCAGCTCAGACGGTGGAAGCTGGAGACGGAGGAGGGTCCTGAGGGGACACCAATAATGACTTCTCTGTTCCGAACATCCCTGATTTCTGCTCTCCCAACTCCTGTGCGAGACAAACTGGAGGATGTTGTGGGACTGGACTCAATGCCACATGTACAGTTCAGAGACCATGTAGTCCACACAGTGGACCGCTATCGGAAAGACAATAACAAAATGATTGAGCAAGAAAAGTGCGCTCAGAGAAAACTCACGCAGTTGCACATAAATGATCTCCAGCACAAGGTGAAGACCCAGGCGGCAGTGGTGAAAAGTGACAGCAAGAGTGACAGTCAAACCCAAGCATTGCAGACAGCTGTGGCCCCGCCTCAAACTCCATCTCAACCGGTTATCAATGTCTACCCAAACCAGTATGGTAGACAGCAGCCTGGACCACAGAGACGATTTCCAAATCGTTTCCCCAATCGCTACCCAACCCGACAAGGCTGGGTGCAGCAGAACCGACCCCCACTTCCAGGTTCATGTTGGGGGTGTGGCCAGATGGGTCACCTGTATCGAGACTGTCCGAATCCAATTCCAAACCCTGAATGGTCTGGGCGTGGTCGTGGAACACGACCAAACCGGGGAAGAGGAGGTCCAGTTAATCCATGGGCAGCACAACAAGGATTCTAGGGATGCCCGGAAGGCCCTGGGGGGGAGGAGCAACTACCAATTTTAACAGCTAACGCCAATAAAGAACCAGTGATCAATGTTAGAATAGAAGGCAAATCGGTCCCAATGTTAGTTGATACTGGGGCAACCTACTCATGCATAAAATCAAATTATGCAACCCATGTCTGAGAAAAGCGTAAAGACAACAGGGTTCTCGGGAACAAAACAAATAAACCCCTTAACAGCTCCAGTAAGACTAGCAGTTGATGACAGTGAAATCGTAATCCCAATTCTGATTTCAGACCAAACTCCAGTTAATCTAATAGGAAGAGATGCATTGTGTAAACTAAAAACAAAAATCTGGTGCACACCAGAAGGAATTTATGTAGATAGCTCTGGAATAAACTTTCAAATGGCTGCTCAGACAGAACACGCTAAGGTCTACTGGCTTGGTGACATTAACAAGCCAGTCTCAGAGATGTTTCAACAATGGGAAAAATTTATTGAAGCTCAAATTCCAGAAGCTACTGTACCGTTCAGTGACTATCACTGCACAATGACTTATGATCCATCATGCAGTAGAATCTTTGAAGAAAAATGGGACAAAGAAACAAAAGACTTGCACGTTAGGCTAGTGTCACAATACATCGTGATAGGACAGCAAGGTGCAGCTGTGAATGTGGAAGAAAACCCATTTATTGAAAAATGGCACACTGTGCCAGAATCAGCACCACACATTACCTTAATGGTAAACAAAGGCTTTGAGTCAAGAGATCTTGGACTAATGATGTTAACAGCAACTAAAACAGAGTGGCAGAAAACAGATAACCCGCTAATCTACACTACAAAAAAATGCAGAAATGATTAAAATTCTCTGCGACACCACTATGATGTCAAAACCACAGGTTCTAACAGTCGCAAACAAAAAACACATGCAAGGTGTAGCAGAATCAGAAACAGCTCAAAACGAGTTGAAAGCCAACATGCTAAAACAGGTTCCAGACCAGCTATGGTCTAAACATGACACGGATGTTGGACTGGTAACATCGGCAACTCCAGTTCAAGTGGAATTGAAGCCAAATGCAAGACTGCCTTATCGACCCCAATACCCACTAAAGCCAGAAGCAAAAGAGGGTATAAATGCAACTATTGAAGGTCTAATTCAAGCAGGAGTACTAAAAGAAACCTATAGCACATGTAACACTCCAATTCTGCCAGTGCTAAAAGCAGACAAGCTCAAGTACAGACTGGTACATGATTTAAGAGCGGTAAATGAAGTGATCACTGACTTTGACGCAGACGTGCCAAATCCAAGCACATTACTGAGTAACATCGATGGGGAAGCTAAATACTTCACGGTAATTGATCTGTGTTCAGCATTTTTTAGCATCCCATTGGCCAAAGAATCACAATATCTTTTTGCTTTCACGTTTCGTGGGAGACAGCTCACGTACAGAAGGCTACCAAAAGGGCATCACAGTCCCAGCGGGACACATTCCAGTGCCCGAAGGTCCTTTCAAACATTTGGTCATTGACTATGTTGACATGATTAAGTCTGTGCATGGAAAATGGTACATGCTGGTGATCATTGACAGATTCAGTCGGTGGATCGAAGCCGTTCCCTCTAAAGATCTAGGTCCAGAAACAGTGGTAAAGTTTCTAGTCAGAGAAGTGATTCCTCGCTTTGGTATCCCGTAGGAAATAAGCTCGGACAATGGTCCTGCTTTTGTTGAAAAAGTCCTTAAAGGTGTGTTGCAACAACTAAGGATAAAGCAACGATTAGGATCAGTTTATCACCCCCAGAGCCAAGGGATGGTCGAGCGAGCAAATCTGACGTTGAAGTCTAAAATCTGCAAAACCTGTGCTTGTACTAACCTTAACTGGGTTGATGCATTGCCGCTTGCCTTAATGAGCTATCGCATGCAAACTAACAGAAGCACGCATCTTTCACCTCATGAGGTCCTAACAGGCAGGCCAATGCCAGCTCCTCAGCTTAGAGGACCCCACAAGGGGCCTTCACTGGAACAGCTAGAGCTTGAATTCAAAAGCTATATCAAGCAACTAACCAGCATCCATAAAGCCATCTATTTGCAGGAAAAGAGAAAGGAGCTTGTCTCTAGCGCAGGCGCAGACGGGCCAGTAGTTCCTGGAGACCAGGTTTACATCAAAGTTTTCAGGAGGAAGTGGCACGAACCGCGACGAGAGGGTCCCTACAAAGTGGTTCGAGCAACGCCAACAGCAGTCCAGGTCGAAGGAGGATCGACGTGGCATCATCTGACACACTGCACGAAAGTCAAAGACAAAACTCAGGGCAGTATTGTGTCTGACGTAACAAACCGGCATGATGGCCGGAGGAAAGAAGGGCGTGCTAAGCCTGATGACAGTTCTGTTTTGGATAACACTAGGGGGTCTGATGATGGTGCTGGAGGAGGTGAAGATGGAGACGATGGCCGAGGAGCAACTCGTCGACCCATCACAAGAGCATACGCCAGACGACTTGGTCAACGACGAGGCAGCACACCATGATCAAGTTAAGTACAATTCAGCAGGCCGGATGCAACATAGGTCGGCATCCCTGCCTGCATTTGACGTAGCAATTGTTAAAACTGGTGTTACAACCACGGTTCCAAACAATGTTTTGACCACAACTAAGACAAATAAAATCCCTGACAGTGTGACCACAGTTCCAAGTAATGTTTTAACTACTAGCGCTACTACTACTGCAATCCCTGATGTTTTGACTACCACAGCCCCTGTTGGAGAGGTGAGGGCCGACTGGAGCTCTTCCTCTCTTTTACAGCTAGTGACTCCACTGATTTCAAGATCTAAAACAACGCCAATTAGCAAGCTGAGAAGCGTAACCGCTAAGCCACCTGTCAGTACTACAACTCCCACAGGAGGTGTAACTGTGAAATCTGGCTTTCCCACGGCAACCTCTGGTAGTAACCATGTTCGTAATCTCACTCAGAAAGGACAAAATGAACAAGAAGTGACCAATCGCAAAGCTGTACCTAAGCCACTATTTGGGCCAATTAGACCTAGGTCCGGCGGTAACACAGGGCCTATCTCCCCTAGAGCGAGCAGACAATTGGCTATAGAGGATAGGCTTTGGGATGCCGCCATGCAAAATAGTTGGTATAAATGGGCTTTGTATACGACAAGAGAAATGACTCCTAATGACTGCATAGTGTGCGCTCAAGCACCCGGAATGTTACCTGAGGTTGTTCCGGAAAAGTATACTTCTAGTGAATGTGCCATTACACAACGACGCACATGTAAGACTAGAAAGGAAATAGAGATAAATAAAAAGATTCCACCTCTTCTTAAGATGCCATTGTGTGGATTCCAATGCAGATTGCTCCATGGTACACGAGATAAGTACAAATATGTTGAAAAATATGCAGAATATAACATCTTAGAGGAATGTGCTGAATTTGCGATCCAAACAGACCAAAATGGTCCTCCAATGGACTACAAAATTGATTATAGTGCTGATTATGAATGTTTTGCAAGTGGAGGTTTCGCTGACGACGGAGGAGTGGACGTAGGTAATACATCTGTCAATTGTAACGTCACTTGGGTATTATCCTGGTTCCCGCATGCAAATGTGACACCACTTCTCATTGACACCCCTGTTTGGTATGAAAACCCTGTAACTCTTAGTCAGGATTGTGATGACATATCGATGACGATTCCCACTCTGGATCTCATAGGTGAGCAAGACATTCCAGTGGCCGACAGCTACTGGATGTGTGGTGGTGATGTTCTAATGAATGTTTTGCCAAGTTTTTGGGTTGGGTTGTGTACGCTAGTACGTATGAAAGTTCCAGTGACTATCTTGCATGAAGGTGTGAGTGAATTACTTCAGTTGGAGACTACCAATAGACGTAGGACAAAGAGGTATGATGTGTTTGATCATAAAGTGCATTTAAACGCCATAGGACTGCCAACAGGAATTCCCATAGAATTTCAAGCTAGAGATGAGGTAATAGCTGGTTTAGAGTCAATTCTTCCTTGGATAACAATAAATAAGAATGTGAAATGGATCAACTATGTTTATTTTAATCAGCAAAGAATCTTAAATTACACAGTAAATAACCTTGGCCTCTTGGGTGAACAACTTCATGCCACCGTCAAAATGACTTTGCAGCACGACCAGGCTTTGGACTGGTTGCTGGCCGAGAAAGGTGGGCTCTGTAAGTTTCTGAACTCCAGTGGGCAAGAATGTTGCACCTACATTCCAAGTAATACGGCCCCTGATGGTGCATTTACTGAAGGAATGAGGAAATTGAAAGATTTAAAGATAGAGCTGAGGGAGAATGCAGGCAGGGAAAGCTGGTCCCTAGACTCCTTAGCCCTCAAATTGGGTCAGTGGGGAGCTATTTTGGTAAAAGCAGGAATTAGTGCAATAGTAGTACTAATTCTGATTTCTCTATTGGCATGTTGCATCCTACCTGTTGTGAGGAGACTGTGGGAGCGAACTCTGGCTGCCCAAATGAACCTTGCTGCGTTGTCTCAATATGTGCAAATGGAAATGGCCGCAATGGACTCAGCACGACACCCAATGTGCCTGGAGAACGGGACGGCTGATGGGACAACGGTGGAGTAATCTTTGTGTCTCATCAGAGATGTTGTTGTTGTGGTTGCATGCACTCGACTAAGGAATCGGCCTCAAAGTCCTCTTCCAGCGACAAGACCCCTGCAGCAATCATCAATAAAACTGAACTTGACTCTTGTGTTTTCTTCACTCCATTTCTTTTTTCAGTTCTGCAACTGGGACTCTGACTCCACTCTCTATTTCGGTTGAGCAGTTGTGTTGTTACATCAAGCATATTCATTACACCTACTGTTGTGTTTAACTTTTTTATAGGTTTAGTCACATCGACATCATCTAGTCGTTCATTCGTATCCACGTCAATCATTTATTTCACATGAGTTTGTATTTTTGATTGCATATTCACGTACAGTTACTGGTTGCAATATTGCTAAGGGTAATTAATGCTCGATCATGCTTATGATTTTTGTTCTCTGTTGG